TGAACGCAACGGATAAAAACTTCCGTGCCTTGGGCGGCCTCACTGTGGTGCTGCGCAAAATGGGATGGCGCGGCCTCACCTGCAGCAAATGTCTCCACTTTACGCTTCTTTGTGCGTTCCCCGTCGGCAACACCGCATGTGGCGCAGAAGGCGTAGAGATCAGGGACACTGTCTCCGTCCCGCTCCACGCGAAACAACGTGCAGTTGGGCGGTATGTGGTCTGTGACAGGGTTCCTCACCACACGCAGCAGCGAAATATGCCCATGTGCCGCCCGCACCTTCATCTTGTACAGACACGCCACCATCATCTTTTCAAACAACCGAATATGTCGTGGCACACGCAGGCGTGGATCGACGGCAATGACAACGCCTTTTTTTGTCCGCAGGAATACTTGCAAGAGACCGGCACGGTTCAGCGGGGAGTCCATAAGGTGCAGGAGAGCCTGATGCACCACGTCTGGTCGCCACTCAGCAGGGTCTTGCTTGTTGCGTGCGTGATACTGCCGGTGCTTCTCGGACAGCAGCTCGAAGCCGTACTCCGTGCGCACGACGGCGAGGGGGCAGTGTTCGAGAACGACGATGACACGCCGCCACCGTGACTTCTCTTCGGCTGACTTTGGGAGCCGCGCCGACTTTTGCCTGTACTCCATCCACCCTACCACCTACCGCGGCCCCCGCCCGCACCACAACTCGCTGATCGGCATGCATGACGCATCGCCAAACAACACCGTGTGGTCCAACCAGCACCACCAGCAGCAGAAGTAACAACAAAAAAGAAAAAAAAGGGAGAAAAAAACCTGTTAAAGAAGACGCATCCCACAGCGGTAACGGCAAAGGCAAAAAAGGCACCACACACCTCCTCTCCCCTCCTTCTCCCTCTCTGTACCGCCTTTCCAAACCACAACGCTGCCCTACCGCTCAATCTGAAACGTCTCCTTCTCTCTGCCCTTGAAGCAGAGCAAAATTTCGTTAATTGTGTCCCCACGCAACATGTCGCGCGCAAACGTCGCCTCCGCCAAAAAACCAACCATCCCGAGCGCCCCCACAACGACTCCGCAGATTACATTCGAATACCACAGCCGCTCCCGCAAG